AGGTTTCACCTGGAAACTCTCTCAACTTGCATAAAATAAACTGCTGATCAGAGGTAACAAACAGATAAGTATCATTTGATAAAATTCTATATAAGACAGATTTTATTAAAAGTGAACAGGCGTGCAACCTTTGCTGTCAGATTCCATGCAGTTCTGAGGCACTGTAACTGACGACACATGTCTTGTCATTTACAGAAACGAACAAATAAAGATAAGACTGGGTATATTTTGCAAGTATGACAAGGTTGAAGTGCATAGTGTCAACCACCCCATCACATAGGTGCTGTGGTTGTTAAATAAAGGTGTCGACATCATTCCGTAGCTGTATATGAGAAGCAAGAGTCCCTCTATGCTGCGATTGGACTTACAAGATGTCAAAGTAGCCGTGAAAAGTTGCTTGAACCTTTGAAAAAATGTGTAAAATTGACGGAAAATAAAAGAAGGAAATTCCTTGTTTTCCGTTGTTGTAAATGCAATGGAGCATTAATTCCTCAAACACAATTTTCTTTCCACCTACCTTTCATATCCATAAAATAAGCAATATAGCTTCCTTTGTTGAAAAGAGACATTCTGTAGAACTTGGTCATTTCGAACGTCATAGTTGGAAATTTAATGACGTTCAAACTACTGTACTTGACGGACAGCAAGTGACGTTTGGGACGCCCGATAACAGACCGTATTCGTGGCGTCCCCAGTTTCAGTCATATTCCCCAATGTAGTATATTTATTGGAAAATGTTAAATGCAAAGAACCAGGCTATAATCTACGATTTCATTCCGACCCCCAAATCACCTGGTACTACCCCATTATGGGTTTATAATTTATACTGTACGTTCAGGAATACGACTGAAATTGGGGACACTGTGAATACAGTCTGGCCGTTTTCCAATACCCAATTCGGCTCCGTCTCAGGCTTCAACTGTTTTTTACACGAGCTGACTTTGAAGCTGTAAGCGCAGTAGTCAGTCTAATAGTGCCACAGAACATCAAATAAGATGTAAAAGAGCTCAAAATTACTGTAATCCAATGTAATTAAGCAGTGTAATTCAAACGCTTCAGGCCCACAATCGGGGATTGGTTTGGGGGAACGAAGGCTAAGACGGAGATGAAGTTGAGTATTGGAAAACGGCCCTATTTAATTCAAGCACATGTGGTATCTTCACTAGGCTCGTCCGAGAAACAGGACTCGTGCTGTATTTAAATGTGAAGGCTTTCTTATTCCATTGTCCAAGAGAATAAATGGTGATAAACAGAGGTCATTCAGTTTTGAATATTTTTATTCCAGTGTGAAATTTCCCGACACACAAAAGCTGGCGTCTCCTCCAACACTTGCAAGTCAACGTCGTTCTTGTTTACAGAGATTTATACATCAGGTTCCTGGACTATTGGCAAATGTGTGCAAACGTTATTGAACTATAATCGATTAGACCTACGAAGGCACTATGAAGAATAAGAGCAAATTTTCAAAAACAATAGGCCTACCATTCCTTCTAAAGATGAAATAACTGGTTGTTAATCTTAATTGCGCGTGGCAAACAATGCCACGTGAATATGACATTTACTTGTAAACGAAACTGCATATTAAACTTAAACTTTTTGGTTTCCAAGGTGATGTAGCATGGCACCGTCGGACAGTATTATCAAACTACAGATTAAAGCAATAAGAACACCACTGAACAAGAGAAATGCTTTTTTTTCAAAATGGAATGATTTGATAACCTCTGAAAGTGGCACAAGCATTTCCAATTTTTTCATGTAAACAAGTTCATTATTCATCCCAAAGAGAGCAACATTTCACTCAAACAAGCAAAGTCCAAATTGCAGTGCAGTTTTATCTGAGAAAACACTGATCGAAACATTATAACAATGTCCACAAGCAGTTCAAATTTTAGCATGTAAACAACGTTATTCATCCCAAACAGAGCAACATTTCACTCAAACAAGCAAAGTCCAAATTGCAGTGCAGTTTTATCTATGAAATCACAGATTGCAACATTGAAACATAATATGTCCATGATTCTTGCTTCAAGGCCGCTTGTTTGACTTGGCATGAGTTTCAACACAGCATCTGCGATCTTCGGCTCCAAGGGACATCTTAATTTGGCTGGCGATCATAGTCCACTCTGGCTTCACATGGCAGAGGTAGTCACTGTTGCTCTGCCATGATATGTCTTCTTTATCTGGCCAGATGTAATAGGATCCTGACTTGGACAAGTACGACAGCAGCATCAACTTCCCTGATACATCAATCACTTATAAAGAAAAGAAAAACACAGAGTAATCACTAGTCGGTACAATCTTGTATTTCCATCAAACTTTGAGATCATAACCTCACCTTCGCTAAACACATGTACCAGTCTTATGAACGACGGCACCCTTGTAGCTTTACAGCGATGAAGTCTCAGCTTTGGTTGGTTCACTTGCGAACTTGCCATCTGTAGTAAGATAATAGAATAAAAAGTGTAAAAGAAAACTCACGCTTTTCGTAAATGCAAATTTGAAATCAACGTCATAATTTTCCCTACGAGCATTTACGGAAACAGGAACTTTTTGAATTTACCCTGTGAAAATGATTATGAATGCATTCGTGGGAAGCATTATCTTTCCCAAAGTGCAACTATTTAAGAACAATTTGCTCTCAAATTGGAAAACAGTTTATGTTTTAAATTGCCTGATGAAGCCAGGCCATTTCGCAAAGTGTTGAGGCCAGACGTGGATGCCACCTGAGACTCATCTGGTACTGCCACTTGGGCATTTGTAGTGAGGTTATTCTCGGACTGGGCCGCTCAAGACACAACCTCCGTCACTGTTCCTGCCACAAATTCAGTAACGTATTTATGTGGGAAAGCGATTGACAACACCAGGTAAGAATTTTTAAAAGTTATGGGTTTGTTAAATGATAATCAAGATAATTAATCAAGACAGAATGTAACAGGAAACCAAGAATTAAGCTGTTCATAAGTTTTGTGCTAATACGTCGAATGCGACTTTTTTTAACGATGTGCTTGTGAAGGGTAGTGCGCGATGCAGTGTGCATAATAAATCATTAAAATATAAAACAAAAGGGGTGAAGTGAAAGGAGTGAAATGATTACCACCGTACAAGGCTGTTCTATTTACCAAGGATT